CGTTTGAGTGGCTCTAACTCTCTCAGGGCAGCTGAGTGCCCGTATATCAAACTTGAGATTACAAATTGAGTTAACGCGCTTATACAATAACAGGCTTAAAATGAATCTCTGTGCTAGAGCCTCTGGCTTCATCAGCTTACCCTCACGAATCAGACTGGTGCAGCGGTTCTATAGCATGCGACAGTTATTATTCCATTTGTTATAAATCCAAATCACGGTGTCCGGGCGAGGACAGTTATTTATTATTACTAACGGTCAGGGTATTGGTAAAATGGCCTACATACAACTAAATGTCTCGTTTGAATCGAGTCTTCAGAACTCCCGCCAGCACACGGGATAATTCCTGGAGCGGTCGAACTGTAGATACGCATTCCTGTAGTTATCAAACTAAACACAGCGATTCATACGAACAGGAATTGTTCATTTTTGACCGTTGAAAGAAAACCATCAAACGCATCCTTTGGCATTTTACTCAAAAATGGAAACAGTACTTCACAACAGTAGTAGTAGTAGTAGTAGTAGTAGCAGCAGCAGCAGTAGTAGTAGTAGTAGTAGTAGTAGTAGTAGTACCAATGAGTTTATCTAAGGTTATTGCATGAACGTAATTTCTAGAGAAACATCAGTTGTTTTTAAAATCGATTGTAAAATCGCCTCGATAAAGGTTACCCACGGTAACCGAAACGTCGGCTTATTTTCACCTGTACCGACATCGCTGCGTTTTCCAAATTACAACATCAGTTGCATTCGTGAATTTGGGGAACACAGGGGCTTACAAGGCAGCATGAAGTTCAGCGTTCACACCCCTCCAACTAAGTGATACAATCGCGTGTGCATTTTGTATTTGAAGGGTACGCGATTCCGAAGAAGTTTAGGCAAAGCAAGGTGGATTGAAGAGTGTGTACGTTTGTGTTGACAGTTGGAGCTACCGTCGTGGCATAAGGAAACATGCAGGTGTCCCGCACGTGGGCTGGACGATCTTGGGATATTGATTGATTTGACTGACAATCCTTCGGACTCCACCTTCACGCACAATCCTCAGTTAATCAATTCTAGTGCTTCCGAGTGTACGATTCAATCGATGAACTGAGGTTTGTGCGTG